GGTTAGAGTCTCACTTCGTTGCCCAGGCTGGAGTGCAGTGGCACACTCACAGCCACCCTGGCATCGAATTGCTAGGCTCGAGCGATCCTTCCGCCTCAGCCTTTCAAGTAGCCAGAACTACAGGCACACACTACCATGCACAGCTAATTTTTTATTGATTGTAGAGACAAGGTCTCGCCAAGTTGCACAGGCTGGTGTTGAACCTGCAGACTCAGCTAATTCACTTTGGCCTCCCAAAGTGCTGGGATGACAGGCTGAGCCACCAAGCCCAGCCTACATGAACTATCTCATTTAAGCTCAACACCTCTATGAGGAAAATGCTCACTTCCTTTTTTTTTTCGAGTTAAGGTCTCACTCTGTGGCCCACTCTGGACTGTAGTGGCACGATCAGGGCTCGCTACAACCTTGACTGCAGGGGCTTAGGGATCCTTGTGAGCTGGGCCTACAGGAATGTGCCACCACATCTAGCTGATGTTTTTGTTTTTTTCCGTAAAGTCAAAGTCTTACTATGCTGCACAGGCTGATCTCACACTCTTAGGTTCAAGCAATCCTCCCGGGCTTAAACAGTTCTCCTGCCTTGGCCTCATAAAGCGCTAGGATTACAGGCATTAGCCCTCATGCCCAGGATAACTTCCTTTTTGTTAAGGAAACCAAGGCTTAGAAATCCAAAGTATTTGACTAGCGACCAGTAGAGCCAAGACTGGAATCCAGCTTGAACCCAGGGAGCCTAGGTAGTAACATTCTTTCCCTATTAGGGGGATTCCATGCCTCTAGCCAAAATGATCGTGTCCAGACCTTAGAGGAGCCCAGGAATACCCACCTCTAAAAGTTAGGAGAGCGGAAGGGGAAGGGAGGTGGGAATAACGGTAGTAAATATCTGTCTGGGGATGGGAAGACACCACTTATCAACAACGGTGCCTGAACGAAGCGTATGTGTATCCCTAACCCTTAACTCTACCCCACAATATCATAATAAAAAACATTGATTAATAAATAAATAAATAAAAATTAAAAAAAATAAAAGTTAGGAGAGATGGAAGCAAGAAACAGTCACAGGACTGCTCTGCAGGCCACTGGGGTCACCTGTCCCCCTGGCTGGAGTGACCTCTGTTCTGGCTAGCACCTCCCATCCCCAGAGGCTGATGCCCACCCCTTCTCCAATGGGGAGGGTTACCGTTTCTTTCATTTCTCCAAGGTTCTCATGAAGCTGGCCCAACTTCTTGGCCAGCTCCTTCTTGATGTGCTGCTCCGAATGCAGCGCACTAGTAATTTCCATGTTTTCATTTGACTGTACAGACAGAAGTAATCAGTGCAGTGGTCACCAACCACAGTGGTTGGCAACAAAACCAGCTGTCCACCTTCCACGGCACAGAAAAAGCATGGAGGCAGACTGGAAGGTCATCATCCCCCCTCCCCCAAAGACATTAGAGGAGGGCTCTGGCTCACGGGGAGCCTTTGAGGGTACCGTTTCATGGGAGGGCTCGCCGCCCACTTTACAAAGGGTAAGCAAAGGGCCTGAGGGACGAGAGGAGGGTAGGCAGCTGGGGGCGGCGCACCATTCGTATGAAGCCACTCTGCAGCTCAGCTAGCTGCTCCTTCAGGAGGCGGTTCTGGGAGAGTGCACGGCTGATGGTGGTGCGGTCACTCTGGATTGTCTCCAGCACCTGTCTGTGTTGCTTCTCCTGCTCATCCCAGCGCTCAGCAGCCCGCTCCAACTCCAGCAGCCGCTCCTCCTGCTCCTGGTTCAGGCGGCTCAAACTCTCATTGTCCCGCACTTGGGCCTGGAGTTGTCCTGCCAGGCTCTCCAGTTCTGTGCGGAGCTGATCAGTCTCCGCTTGCAGCTGCTGTTCTACTTCAGAGGGCCCTGCAGGGGGCTCTGGACATGGAGGTTCCGCTGACAAAGGAAGCGTAAGACAAGGGCTTCTGGATTCTCAAAAACTCTCTTCTTGGTCCTCGGCTCCTAATCCAGGGTCCTGACTCCAAACCCTGGCTTCTTAGCTAGTAATTCCTCACATCTGAAAGATGGTCAGTTTTTCTTTTTCTTTTCTTTTTTTTGAATCAGGAGTGACCCAGGCTGGATGGCAGTGGCACGATACCACAGTCTCAACCTCCTGGGCTCAGGCAACCCTTCAGCCTCCATCTCCCAGGTAGCTAGTACTACAGGAATGCCCCACCACACCCGGGCTAGTTTTTTTATTTTCTGTACAGGTGAGTTCTTGCTATGCTGCCTAGGCTTGTCTCAAACTCCTGGACTCAAGCGATCCTCTCACCTAAGCCTCCCAAATGCTGGGACCACATGTGTGAACCACCATGCCCGGCCTCCAGGTTATTTTCAAATAGAGTTCATTATGTTTTTATGCTCAAGACAGTGACCACTGCACTGATTACAATGGATGGCTGACAACAGGCACTCCCCGCTGCCCAGATGGGAACCCTGGGGCTCACAAAGATGGCAAGATTTGCCATCTACTGGCAGGGACCTCTCTCCTTCTGCCACAAAACCACGCACCCACCTTCCTGGACCATTTCAGGCCATTCCCACAGCCTCTGATACCAGCCTGCTCCTAGCCCTCCCAGCCCCAGCTCACCTGTCTGCGTTCTATGCTGGAACAAGTTGTTCTCCAGCTCCTGCATCTGGCGCAGACAGCGTTCCTTCTCTTCTTGTAGCACGACCACCTGCCCAAAGCAAGAAGGGGAGTCACTGAGGAGGGGCTGGTGAATGGACAGCCATGTCTCCCTCTCTTCCCCACTGCCACCAAAACACAGGACCACCTCTGGCGGTGCTCTGCAACAAGAGATGCCAGATGCCCAGAAAGACCAAGTGACCTGTGCCTAAGGGGGGGCCAAGGGGTCAGCTCTCACCTGGTCTGACATCTTCTTTATCTTTTCCTGCCACATGGCAGTTTCTTTGATTAGCTCGTCCGCGTACTTATCTCGTTCCAACTGAAGCTGTGTCCGTGACTCCATAAGCTGCGAGAATGGGCCCGACTTAGGAAGGGCTGTTCTGGTCCTCACCTGCTTCTGGCCGCCTGGGGTCATCTCCCTCCCACACCCTCCCTGGGCAAAGCCTCACCTGTCCCACGTGTGTCTCCAGCTGGGCCCGCTCCTCCATGGCCCGTTGTAACTTCATGTTGCTGTCAGAGGAGTCACACGCACTGGAAAACTGGACAGTGGGATTTGAGTCACTGAGACCCGGGAGACCAGGCCGGCACACTCAACGGCTCCCCAGGAGGCTGGAGCTAGGCTCAACCTCCCACTTGGGCTCAGTAAAGACTTCGACCCTCATTATCACCACCATGTGGAGGAAGCAAGCAGACTCATGGGCTGGCCACAGAAATGTAATCTAGGTAACAATGGCTTTCAATAAGGATGCTTTCAAAATTATTACTATTATTACTATTACTATTATATTTGAGACAGGGTCTTGCGCTATCGCCCAGGTTGGACCCCGTGCACAGTCTCAGTTCTCTGCAGCCTCCACCTCCTGGGCTCAGGTAATTGTTCCGCCTAAGCCTCCCTAGGGGCTGTGCCTACAGTCGCAAGCCACCACACCTGGCTAATTTTTTTAATTTTCTGTAGAGATGAGTCTCACTATATTACCCAGGCTGCTCTTGAACTTTGGGCTCAAGTCATCCTCCCACCTCAGCCACCCCAAAGTGCAGAGATTGCAGGTGTGAGCCACCACACTCAGCTTTTCAGAAAATGTTTAAGCCCTATTCCTGAGATTCTGATTCCACAGATCTAGACAGGGCCCTAATCTGCCAATCTTCAGCAATCTCTGGAGGATCTTATGGCAGAACTAGAACAAGGATCCCAATTTCCCAGCCCTTGGCTAGCGGCCACCCCACCAAGGATCGCTAGAGACTGTGGCCCCAACTGAATGGGGTTCACACCATCCCAAGAGCCACCGCCTCTCACTTGTTGCAGAAGGAGCTCTGTCATCTCCTGCTTCTTCTGCAGGTCCTCCACCTCGAGCTGCATGGCTGCCTTCTGGGTCAATAGGACTCGAAGCTTCTCCTCCAATTCCGATTTTTGTTGCAGCAAGTCCTCATTACTCTTACTGTAGCCAGAGGCAGTGGAGAGAGGAATGAACAAACGACAGAAAGAACCTCTCTGGTGATCAACCCACGCGACTATCCTCGCCACACAACCACAGAACCGTGGTGCTGGAGGGGACTTTAAGAGTCAAGAGTCGCAAGGGGCAGGCAAGAGAGGACACGAGTCAGTGGCACAACTGGGGCTAGAGAGCACTTATGCATACGTCCAAGCATGTACGAACACCTCACCATGCTCCCCTGGACCCCTCCCGTCTCCCACGTCACTGGTGCTAAGGACCCCCACACCTTCCCTGCCCCCATCCGCCCCCATCTCCTCCCCGCCTACGTGTTTCTGTACAGCTCCAATTTGAGGGCGTCTCTTTCTTTGGTTAGTTCTTTGTTGTGCTGCCAGTACAGAAAGGTTAAGTCAGGATGTGCAGGCAGAAGATGTGGCTGGCATAATAATACCAGTAGCTACAGTAACAATTCCACACAAATACTTCCTCACCCGGAACCTCACTGGACACTTTTCAAGGCATTCCCAAGCCAGCTGTACACACGCATTACTTTTTAATAGAACTCAGTAAGGATGGAAGAGGCAGGGAAAGAGATTGAATTTACAGCTGGAGAGCAGAGGCCCAGAGACATCAAGTAATGTTGCCGTTGTTATTAGCATTATTCTCACCACTGCTTGACCCTCTGTTGAGTGCTTTACCGGTGCTAACAATCCCACTTAATCCTCAAAGTCACCATATGACACAGCTACCATCATGATCCCCATTATGAAAAACATTATAGAGGTCAAGTGTTTGGCTAAGATCACTTAGACACACAGCTGGGATTTGAACACCAGGTTCACCTAATTCTAAGTCCACTTCTTCCCTGGAGTTGGGGACACAGACAGGAAGGGAAAATTCAATTAAACTTTAGTTCACCATTTGAATGGATGGCACATTTACAGGGTCTAAAACTCACGGGGTACAGAAGTAAACTGTCTCCCAGCCACCCTATTCCTCTCTCCTATTTTATTTATTGATTTATTCTTTATACAGACAGGGCTGCCCAGGCTGGAGTGCAGTAGAGCCTCAAACTCCTGGGCTCAAGGGATTCTCCTGCCTCGGCCGCCAAGTACGTGGGACTACAGGCAAGAGCCACTGTACCTGGCTTCCCTGAGTTTTTTAAAGTTCTTTCAGATGTGTCTTATGTATATTATACACTATACACACATGGCCCCTCCTTCTACACAAACGGTAACACACTAAAGACACTCTTCCATACCTTCACAGCCCAAGCACCATATCCCCTCCTCTCACTTGGCGAAGGCTACAGCCAGGTGACGGCAGGCAAGTACTTGGCCTCTGGCCTCTGGTCACCACATCTACAGCTTGAGCCCGACAGCACCCCACAACTCACCCACGGCAGCCAACTCATGCCCAGGCTGTTCCTAACAACCACACCACAAAACCAGCCAGAAACAGCGAGTGCTGCCTTCTGGGAAGCTGGTCCTTCGTCCCCCAGAAGAGACCTTTAAGCTCCCTACCCCATCTGGGAAGCTCAGCTGCCAGGGAGTGGGCAGGTGGCACAGCTCACCTCTTCTGCTTGTTTCTGTTGGGTGGACACAGCAGAAAGAGTGCGCTCCAGTTCTCCTATGCGCTGTCGGCAGGACTGCAGGCGGCCAGCAAGCTCCTTGGCCTCTCCTAGAATGACAAATATGGAGATGGAGACCAGACAAGTCCCCAAACTCGCCTGCCAAGTGCCAGTTAGATGATGAAGGGCACCCACCTGCCTTATGGTCAACGACCTGCTGTGTGTGGGCCAGGGCCGTCTGCAATTCGGCCTTTTCGGAAACCAGAATACCGATGGTCTGGATGTGAACCTTTGGAAGACAAGCCCATAAGTGCTGAGAGACAAGGAAGGAAATGTTCTCCAGAGGATACGAAAGAGTGTCACACAGTTCACTCACCTGCAGTTGTTCCCGCAGGGATCCCTGCTCCTTTACCAGCTTTTGATGGCAGTCTCTTTTCTCCTAGAGGAAGAGGGAAGACAGATCTCTTACAGGGGGTAGGAGAGATGACACTGCAAAGGACATGTGCCCAGAAAGTGCTCCAGGACAGGCCCACCTGTGAGACCGGACTACTAGGGACCCTGCAGGGATGGAGTTAGAACACAGAGGGTGAGGCTCCCCAGGCTTGGAGTGGGCAGGATGAGACAGGGGTTCAACACTGGAATTCTCCCCCAAACCCGACAGCAAACAGAAATTGTGTTACTTTTTCCAGTTGATCCAAAATTTCTTGCTTCTCTTGTTTCTGTGGGGAAAGTCAAAGAAAGGTGACTGAGGGTGCCCCCTTCTTTCTGCTCCCCAGACCAAGGGGTATGCAGGGCCAGGAATGGTGTCAAAGGCAAAGTTCTCAGAGCCTATGGGGACATGAACTGACACCCTTTCCTCAAGTTCCCAGGGAAAGAGCATTTGTGCCTTCCGTGGTTTTTGCCTAGTTACAGAATGGAAAGTCTGAGTCTGGCTTCTCTTCATTTCTTAATTTTTTTTTTTATAGAGACGGGGTTCTCGCTGTTGCCCAGGGTGGTCTTAAACCCCTGGGTTCAGATCCTGCCACCTTGGTCTCCAAAAATGCTGGGGTGACATGGTGAGCCACTGCGCCTGGCCTGGATTCTTTTTAAAGGACAGTAACAAATCTCTAGAAATGAAGTTTGAGAAAAGAAAGGCTACCCTTCCACAAGTTTGTGATGTGGAAGGGTACGTTCACGGAGAACAAACTTCAAGACAGATGTTTTCTTTTTCATTTTTTTGAGTCAGGGGCTCAACTGTGTTGCCCAGGCTGGAGTGCCGTGGCATGATCATGGCTCACCACAGCCTGGACCTCCTGGGCTCAGGCTATCCTCCCGCCTTGGCCTCCTGAGTAGCTGGCATTACAGATGCACGCCACCACACCCAGCTTATTTTTTCATTTTTCTTGTAGAGACGAGGTCTCACTATGTTGCCCTGGCTGGTGCCAAAATTCTGGGCTGAGGCAGTTCTCCTACCTCAGCCTTCCAGAGGGCTGGGATTACAGGTAAGAGTCACCGCGTCCAACCTGGACTATTCTTAATAGCAGGGACACAGGAATGAAAGGACAGGCGGAAGCCCTCTGCCCTGAGGTTTCCAGTCCAGTAGGCCAATAAACCTGGGTTCTCAGAGGTAAAAGAGACCTCTGATACTCTCTTAACTCTACCTCCTCAGGAAACTCAAGCCCAGGCAGAAGAGGCAACTTGTCCAAAATCAAAGACAGAGCAGATGAGGGACGGAGTCTGGCCAGGAACACAGGGCTCCTGATGCCCTGTGGGGCAAGTTCCCACCCCAGGGCAAGTGTGTGATGACTCAAGCAGGGGCATCCGGAGAAGAGAAAGGAGGCAGACAGGGCAGCAACAGAAGAGCCATGCTGCATGCTCCATGCTCCAGGTCCCTCCAGCTGAGCCTGAGCCCCCCAGCACCCCTTCTTCCTTGGCACCAGGGGCTCCAGTCCCTTTCTTCAGAGGCAGAAACTGGAGCCCAGGACTGGAATCAGGGGACCCCACTGGACTCTTACCAGTTCCTCTATGGTTTTATTTAGCTGATTGTTCGTTGCATAGCTGGTATCCAGGGCTATTGCGAGCTCTTGGTATCGGCTCTGAGGCGCATGCAGAGAGGAGAGGTGGAGGAGGGTTGAGGGAGGGATAGAGAAAGCAATCATTAGGGCTGAGTGTGTGGGCCATTTCAACTGGCAGAGGGGCACCAGCCCCCGTGGTGGGAGGAGGTCGGAGGACTGGCCTGCAGGGTCCCTGGGTCTGGTCCAGAGCCACCTACCTCCAGATCTTTCATGTTGGCAGAAGACGCAGGCCCCTCACCATTAATGTAGGAAGTGGACTGAAAGAGATGAGCATGTACATGGAGACGCCTGCCCCCTCGAGGTCTGACCCTCTGACGGACTTCCTTTCTTCCCCATCAACTGGCAAAGCTCTCTTTTCTGCCTAGGTAGGGCCCTTCCTCATGCCACCCTGTGCCAACTTCTCGGGGTTCTCACCCCCATCCTCCCCCTCCCGAGCAGTTTTCATCCTGGCCTTTCTACAGCAGGATCAAACAGCAGAGATAGTCTTAGGGTCCCACTTCACTTGTGCAGCTTCAAGGGAGAAGCTCAGAGAAGAGGTGGCCTGTTCGACCTCACCCGGCATGTTACTGTTCCCAGATCTGCCCTCTCTCTCGGGAATCCCTGCCTTGGTTTCTTTCTGTTACGCTCTCCTTCCCCCTCTCGCCCCTCTTCTGGGCCCCGATTCCTGGGGGTACCTCAGACACAAGACCATTGAGCTGCTGAGAGAGTTGTCGCAGGCTCTCAGTTGATGAGAAAGTCCTAGAGATGGAGACACAGGGGTCAGGGCAGGTGGCTCGGTGGGGAACAGGGTCCTGGGCAGCGGCCCGCCCTGACTCCCTCAGCCCAGGGACTGCTACCCTGCTAGGAGACACTCACTTGGTTTCATCCATGAGATGAGGGCAGTTATCATCATGGTTCTGTTTGGGAAGAAAACATGAGGTGGTCATTCAATTTCCAGTGAGAATCACCAAGGGGCAGCGTGAGCCAAGCTTAATCCGACAATCCTCCACATCCCCAAACTTCCCAGCCTCAGCCCCCTCACCCCAATCCCCAGAAAGGACACCTGGCTTAGGAACCTAGCTACCTGCAAAAGGAGAGAATCCACAGTGGGTACATATAGCCCTCTGGGAGGAGGAAGGGGCGAGCATTTGGGAGGGCAGGGGACACAGGGGAAGAGGCACAAACCTGAGGTGTCACCGTGCTAGTTGCACCAGCACCGGATGAAGGGACACCGTCAGGTGGCATAGGGTCATCAGCAGGTTGTGTAGGAGCGGCGCAGTCTTTGGGCGCCTGTCACAGAACAGAACACGGGGTTAGGGGATCATGCAGGAGAGGGTGCCTCACTGCCCTCGGTTGACACAAGGGTGCGGAGCAGGTAAGACAGGTGTTGCTGCAGTCATAGTGACAGTCACGCATGCTGGGAGTCACTCGAGGGTGTGGGAACGGCTTGCCCAGGCCTCAGACTGCTTGGACGGCCAAAGCTCAAAGCGGCACAACCTCCTTCACAAACACGAGGACCTTGTTCTCCCTGGGGCTCAGCAAAAGACAGCATCAGCTCTGACCTCTGGCAGCCACGGCAGGTGGGAGGAAGGCTTGCCAAAGTCAGGGAGAAGTAAGGCACTGCTCTTCCAGAAGGCCAGCTCATGCCACAGGGTGACCCTAGCCTGGGCCCTGCTGGGCAGAAGATGGTGACAATGGAGGTGACGTCGTGGTCAGTGTGTCTACTTGAACCTCTCCCCTTTCGCTTCCCTCCTTCCCTCCTTCCCTTCTTCCCTTCTTCCCTGCCCCGACCACTGGCTGTGTTTCTCATTCGGGCCTTTTCAGGGAAAGAAAGTGACCTCTCCCTGCTCTCTGGATAAAAGGAAATAAACCACAGCCACCTCATGGCCACTACCCCTACCCCAACCTCTCAGCTCCAGAAACGCTGACCCAGCCAAGAAATCACCTGAGAAACAGAGGTCTGCCCTGTGGCAGCCTGGTGGTCGGGGGCCTCTTTCCTGGGAATAGTAGCTGAGGGGATCCCAGGATTTAGGACTTGGAGCCACATAGAAACCTGTCCCTCATCCCCAAGTGAACCCATCTAATGGACCAGAGCCCCACTCAGCCTCTCTCCAGGTTCAAGCCTCTGGCTCTAGAGAATGTCTAATGTCCCACAGGCCAGATGGGCAGAGGGTGGAAAAGAGGACTGACTAGCTGAAGCCTGCCGGGTGAATCCTAGGGAGCCAAGGCCTGGTCAGGGGAGCCAGTCTCACAAGGGGGTGGCTGCCCCTGTCTCTATGGAAAGAGATGCCTGCTCTCTGGACCCTTCAGTCCTGGCCTCTGAAAACCCCAATCTACTTCCATCCTTAGAACCAGCACTGCAGAGGCTGACGGAACTGAGGATGAGTCAAGTAGTCTTTGCATCTTTGCAAGTTTACCGTGACCATGGCCCTGGACCCTGTGCTGCCTTGACAATGGCTACAAGTGAACTAATAGGTCAAAGTAGAGCTGGTCAGGCAGGAGCCTTGAGGGGACCCTGGCAGGTTCTAGGTTCCTCCTGGCGTCTTGGGTTCTCACTGACCTCCAGAATTAGACACAGGAATGCCCATAGAAAAGAAAAAGAGTATTTTCCTGAAGACTTCTCAATACGTGCAACATGATTCTTTTGTGAACAACCAAGTTATTTCATAATTTTAAGTCTTGCAACTAAGAATTAAGTTTAAAGAAAAAATGCCTACTCCACTCAAAATGTTTCATTCCATTACTTTTTCTGTCTCTATTACTCCATATTTTTTTATTTTTTATTTTTTTATTTTTTGAGTTGGAGTCTCACTCTGTTGCCCAAGTTGGAGTGCAATGGCACACTCACAGCCACCGCAGCCTCAACCTGCTGGGCTCAGGCGATCCTTCCACGTCAGCCTTCCAAGTAGCTGGAACCACAGGTGTGCACCACCATGCCCAGCTAATTTTTTTTATTTATTGTAGAGATGAGGTCTGGCCAAATTGCCCAGGCTGGTCTCGAACATGGCCTCAGGCAAACCTCTCACCTCAGCCTCCCAAAGTGCTGGGATTATAGGTGTGAGCCACTGCGCCTGGCACTCAGTATTTCTTGAAATGTTATCAGTCTACACAGAATATGGCAATCACAGGCCTGCATTCCCAGAGTAGAAAACTTACATGAGAACATTACTGACATATAGCGGGTTTAAAAAAAAATAAGAAAGAGCCGGGCTCAGTGGCTCAGCCTGTAATCCTGTGCCTTTGGGAGGCTGAGGTGAGTAGATTGCCTGAGCCCGCGGGTTCGAGACCCACCTGGGCAACTTGGTAAGACCTCATTTCTACAATAAATCAAAAAATTAGCTGGCTGTTGTAGTGCGTGCCTATAGCTGCAGCTACTTGGAAGGCTGAGGTGGAAAGATCGCCAGAACCCAGCAGGTCGAGGCTGCAGTGGCCGGGAGCGTGCCACTGCACTCTAGTCCGGACAACAGAGTGAGACTCCAACTCAAAAAAAAAAAAAAAAAAAAAAAGAGCAGGCACACTCATTCAAGGCTCTAATACCAGTACTTTAGGAGACAGAGTCGGGAAGATCGCCTGAGCCCAGGAATTTGAGACCAACCTGGAAAACATAGTGAGGCCTTGTATCTATAATAAAATCAAAAAATTAGCTAGGTGTAGTGGTGCATGTTTATAATTCCAGCTACTCTGGAAATATAAGTGGGAGGATCTCCTGATCCCAAGAAGTCGAATCTGTGGTGAGCCATGATTATGTCACTACACTCCAGCCTGGGTGACAGAATAAAATTATGACAAAAGAAAAAAAGGGGGGAGGGTAACATGAGGACCTGGGACTTTGTTTCCAGAACAGAGGGACCCGGGCTGGGCACAAAATCCTACAGCATTTGAGCAGACTAATAATCATCCGATGAGGAAACTGAGGGCCCAGACTCCCTTGCCAACTGGACCATTGGCAAAGGAAAAGGCAAATGCATGGCCACATGGCCACAAGACCCCTCTAGACCTGTGTTCCCTATGCCATGCCACATGCCACTCAGTGTCTCCTCTGAGTCAAAAAGTTGAGTCATAGTACCTGGAAAGAACTGATGGACTGGGAGAAACAGCTGTTATCACTGAAAAACTCTCCTGCACTAGCCAACGGTGTCCTGTCCCTGTCCCTGTCCCCATGCCCATCTCTAACAGGATCTGGCTCTGCTTCAGCTCTGCTGCTCTGGCATGGCAGTCTACCAGTCAAGTTAGATATGGAGGAAATGCCAACATCAGCTCTGGAGGAGATCACCTCCTCGCTTTGCCACCCCCCCGCCCGGCTCCAGGACCCTCCTCCCCCGCTGGATTCCTTGCATCCCTGAAATGTGTTCTGTGAGGTCATAATGCTGGCCATTACCTCACTGCCCCCTCTACCTCCCCACTCTCCAATATGGATAGATCCGACTTACCTTTAATCTTCAGACCAGCCTCAAATGCCACCTCCTCCAGCCTCCGGTCCATTCAGGACCACCATCCCCCCACTGAGCATCTGGAATGTTCCTAAATTCTCTCTTGCCCCTCTCAGAGTGCATCCCATCTTGATCCTCAATTTCCTCCACTGCTTAACAAAATGCCTTTTCTGTCAACAGCCCAATGAATATAGCTGTGTCCATTTGACTTTTTTTTTGAGTCGGAGCATGGACCTGCTGGGCTCAGGTGATCCCTTCTGCCTTAGCCTTCCAAGTAGCTGAAACTATGGGCATGCGCCACCACACCCAGCTAATTTTTTTAATTTACTGTAGAGATGAGGTCTTGCTATGTTTCCCAGGCTGGTTTCGAACTCTTGAGCTCAGGCAATCCCAAAGTGCTGGGATTATAGGCACGCACAGCCTCCAAATCAGACCAGGAGCTCAAGACCAGCCTGGACAACATAGTAAGATGTGGTCTCTACAAAAAGTAAAAAACTAATTAGCCATGGTGGTACATGCCTGTAGTCCCAGCTACTCAGGAGGTTGAGGCAGGAGGAGCCACTGCACTCCAACCTAGGCAAGAGTGAGTCCCCAACTCAGGGGGGGAAAAAAAGGGAGAGAGCTCAGGGGCAGAATGTACTGGTCATTCATATTGGTTAGCCTCATCTTTACAGTCAGTCCCTTTGAAAAATAACTTCAACCCTCGCAACTATAATGTTAACTCAATTTCTCAATTTCTCTTAATACTACATTTCCCTAGTCTCAAGCCAAAGTGATTTACTAATTTGAAAAATCACAAGTTTCTATGTACTTTACTGGTCTTTTGGGGACTGATTCCCAGAGACCTAAAGGTTTGTTCTTTAATCTCTCCTAGTCTAATGGTCCCACTCTGGGCATTCCAAAATCAAATCCTACAAACCTGCTCACAAAGTTAATCCACAGTTCCCTTTAACCTTCAAGGTATTTCTCACCTTCTCCTAGATGACCAAAGAGGTGGGAGGAAGGGAAAAAAACCCAATCAACCCAGCAGGTGAAGAAGCAGACATCAACAGGCTAAGGGTGAATGGCAGCCACATATGCCAGAGGCAAATTAGCCCCAAACCAGAGAAGCCCTGGGGGCATGCACAGCAGGGAAAGCAAGCTAGACAGGGGTAGCGGCACTGCCTCACCTTCCACTTGTCCAATGGGGAGAGTGCTACCCCATTGGAGCGGTTAAGGTCGGACACCAGCACCTTCAGAATGTCCTGAATCTACAGGAGGCGAGAAGGGGAAAACAAGGGTAAGGGAGAGAGAAGCAGCTTAGAGAGAGGCAAGAAAGTCAGGGAAAGAGGAAGAGGTGGGTTTGGGGTAACAGAATGCTGCAGAAGAGCAGAGATCAACACCAGGGCCTGTGCCATTCTCCACATGGCCACTTACTGCCTTGGCAGAGGCAGAAACAGATGGAAAAGTCCCCCAAGTGAAGCAGTCATATACAGCAGAGTCGCCTGACCGATGCGGCTCACTAGATCCTCTTCTCAGGACCAGAATATAGAAGGCCAAATCTGGCAGGGCTTCAGATCCCCATCTCCATTTTAAAAACCAGACTTCTGAGCAAGGTTCACTTAAACAAAGGAGGGTACAGCTAACCAAGTTTCAAAGCTACCAATCTGATTCAACATCATCATCTTACAGAGAAGAAACTGAGGCCCAGGGGAGAAAGTTTTTTTTTTTTTCTGTGATCCCCTAGATGCTAGTAACAAAGATGGACTTAAACTATCTTTTCCTAATCCTAGTGCCCCTTTCTCTGCACATCCTGGGGCTCTTTAGCTGCTTCCTAAAGGGACAGCTTGATTGCAAGTGGCTGTTCTCACTAGCCTGGCTTCCCCTTGAGGCTGAGGATGAGGAAAATCAAATAGCAACTGTTCACACCAGGCCCTGTACCAGTGACTCATAAAAACAAACAAAATCAAAATCTCATTTAAACTTCTTTAGTATAAGTAACACAATACTACCCCTTTTTACAAATGGGAAAAAGAGGCCCAAAGAGTGCAACCAATTTAAATCGTATCACTAGTGGAGGGAGAGGTAGTATTTTAACCCAGCTTTTTTAAAAAAATTTTTATTTTTATAGAGATGGGGTCTTGCTGTATTGCTCAGGCTGGTCTTGAACTCCTAGACTCAAGGGTTCCTCCCACAGTGCTGGGATTACAGGCATGAGCCACCACACCCAGCCTAACCCAGAATTAGGTTACCCAACACTTCTTCCACAATCTTCTTACCCACTATCCTCTATTGCCCCGTGAGTCCCCTATTCCCGAGAGCCTGGTCAACCAAGACTTACATCCTCAGGTGGGTGGCAACCGCCAGAAGTGGTATCAGGGCTGGTGCCATTTTTTACTTTTTTCTTTTTCTTCGCTCCTGCAGGAACACCAGGGCTGTGCTTCTGCTGATACTCCTTTAGCTGTGGAAAGGAAAAGCAGTATGAGAACTATAGGCTCCTATATGCACATCCTACCTGATAGCTTTTCTGTTTTGTAGTTGCTTGTTTTTGAGTCAGGGTCTCACTCTGCCACCCAGGCTGGAGTGCAGTGGCACCATCATCGCTACTGCACCTTTGACCTCCTGGGCTCAGATGATTCTTCTGCCTCAATCTCCCAAGTAGCTGGGACTATAGGCATGCACCACCATGTCTGGCTAATTTTTTTTTTTTGTAGAGATGAGGACTCGCTATGTTACCCAGGCTAGTCTCAAAATCCTGGGCTCAAGTGATCCACTCACCTTGGTCTCCCGAAGGAAGCCCTTATCTCTACACAAAATAAAAAAATTAGCCAGGTGTGGTGGTGTGTGCCTGTTGTCCCAGTTACTCAGGAGGATATGGTAGAAGGATCTCCCAAGCCCAGGAGGGTCAAGGCTGCAGTAAGCTGTGATCATGCCACTCCATTCCAGCCTGAGCAACAGAGTGAGATCCCAACTCAAAAAATAATTAAAAAAAAAAAAAAAAA